CCTAGAGACCCGCGGGGGGAGCTGGTGCTCCCCAGCGCGCTGCGGGGACCCCGAGACTCGGAGAAGACCTGGGGGGTCCCCGGAAAGCTGCCGGTCCCCCCGAGATGTGGGGATCCGCTGCCCCCCACAGAGTTTCCCCGCTGGAGACACGGGAACCCCCGAGCCGCCCTACAAACACCTGCGGGAGGAGAGCGGGAGCCAGCAAACACCAGCTCCATGGGGGGCCCCACCTTTCCCATGGGGGTGCCACACAGATTCGGGGGGCTCCATGACCACATGACCCAAGTGGCCCCCCTTCGGCATACTCAGGCGACACCAAAAAAATGGCGTTTGCCCCAAGAGGTGTTTGATTGCCCCCAGCCTGGGATGAGAAAATGTGATACGATATTTCAATATCGTGCTTGATAAAGGTGAGGCGTGTCACCGCGGCCGCCAGCGTGCTTTTAACTCAGCCTGAACGTAATTGTGTGGAAGATTAAGGCCCTCAAAGGCTTTCCGAAGTTAAAGGGATAATAACGAGGAGGTTAAACCCCATATTTAGGATTTGTAGAATAATGCTTTACAAAGCCTATTATCCACAGAAACATTTGTGTAATTGAAAATCTCTTTTTAGTTAAATTTTAACGTTCCCCTTTCACATTTGTAGCCGGGAGCCAATGCGCAGGAGTCACCAAGCCGAGCCACCGCTGGCCTGTTCCCCTCCGCAGGACAGGAGCGGGTGGTGGAAGGGTTAGGCAGAATCCCTCTTCCAAAAAGCCCAGCCTAAAACAGGACGGTGCCACTGGTAACGTCTCCATTTAGCGCCTGGTTTGAATCTGAGCACGCAGAGGCAGAGCCGGGGACAGTGACCGAAACTTGAAAGAAGACACTTCCCCCTGAGGGCTAACCGCGCTGGAGCGGCTCTCTAAGGGCAGCAGCACGCAAATACCAAAAAACCTGAAAAATGGCTGTGTCGGGAACAAATTTAAGCGTGTACATAGATCCATCTCTGTGCAGCAGCTCACTTAAGTATCTGCGCTTACTTTAAGCACATGCTCAGACCTAACTGAAGTCGAGGGCTTTAAGCACACGCTCAAATGTTTCCCTAAATTGTTGTTGAAGCTCAGCTCCCACCCAGCAGCCTGCATTTCACCGGAGGGCTTCCCGCTTGCCAATATCTGATGAGTTAAGGCAGACACCTTTGCAATTAATTCATTGATAAACTAGCCTGAGAAAGCCAGCCGGCAGGTATCGGACACATCCGTGATTTATTTTCCTATATCTGTATTTTGCACCACCACTGGCTAAACATATCACACCATGCTCCGGTTCGCTCGGGCAGCGGCTCCTGCACTTGCGTGCTGCTCTGCCGCTTCCTTTCTCCGCGGCAATTTCACAGGGCAGTTCCTGGCCACGATCCCGGTGGGGAAAGATCCGCAGCGTTCCTGCTGCTGCAATCCTCCCTTGCTACAGCCACTCCTGCACTGACCTTTGTAACTCCTTTCATGGCGCACGAGGTGCATTCCTGTTCCTTTGGCTGTTATTGCAAAGGGTGCGAGACCCCGCTGCCGCGCTGCCTTCCCCTGCTGAGTTTTCCCACTGAATCCCAGCACCGGTGCTGACGTTTGCCCCTCGCTTTGCTGACTGTGCTGTCTCGGGCGGGCGGTGCTGCATGGGAGTAGCAGAACGTATTTCTTCAAGTGTCACCACTCAGGTCAGAGACCGAAGGACCGTGACAGCAGCCTGGGAGAGAGGAGTCATCAAACCAAGGTGTCGAACACGGCTCTGCCATCCAAGCCAGCCTCCCTGAAAGTCGTTAAGTTTAAAAAAATCCCTGTAATGGTAAAAAATGACCAGTGTCATCTCCCCCCAGGAAAGCAGAGCATCAGGCAGCTCAAAATCGCAGCTCCGCACCCATCTACCTGCTACCGCGCTGGGAAGCCCAGGCTTTTCTCCCCGCAAGAAGAGCCCACGGGCAGACAGGTTCTGCGGGCCAGGCAAGCGAAGTCAAATCTATTTATTTATGTCTGAGTGCTGAGCATGGCACAGCAGCGATTTTTTGGAAACCTTGCTTTCTCGCTAGCTGCGAGCACCCCGTGGCTGACCTCCCCAGCCCCGCCGTGCTCGGGCCGATAACCACCCATCCATCTTCCCGTTAATTGTCATCTCTCCCCTGACGAGCTACCGGCTCTTTCCGCATGTACTCTCTCAAGGTTATTTTCAGCTCTGCAGCATCACCGAAACACACACGTTTGCGTCTTCCGTATTGCAGCAGCAGGGCTGCTCCTCTCCACCGTTTCTAACACCCAGCATCATCTCTTCTGTCCAGGAAATACAAAGAAATCCTCGCCACTGTTCCTCCCCGCCACGGTGTTTGCATCCACGAATCACAATGAAATACATGCAGCTTTTCAGCGAAACTTCTGCCTTTTTTTGTAACGCCGATGTGTTTTCCCAGCTGGCGGGGCCACAGCCAAGCGAGCCAGCCCCGGTTTCTTTGGAGCAATCTTTACAACGCACACGCAGCCCCAGACACAAGTTCAGTGACAGTCATTATGCTTTGCTACGAGGGTGGGTGTTCGTTTGCTCCCTGCTTTGATTAATCAAGTCAGCAGAGCCGTGCCGATCCCCTCAGCCAGGGACAGTGCGCGCTCCCGAGGCTTTACTCTCACTTTACTGTCTTCATATTTGTAGCAAAGTGCGTTTATAGCAAATTAGCATATCTGGGGCTGGTTGAGAGGTGATCACTAATGGAAATCTGCACTCCTTCCACTCCGTCAAATCCATTCGAGGTTTGCCTCCTAATGAATTGGTATCTTTGCTGAGAAGGCCTGTGTCTAACGGTCTATGTGATAAAAGACCAATTGCTGACATTTGCTGCTGTTTTCCCTTCCGTTGACATTTCATTAAGGAGAAAAGAACACCAGCAACTACAAATGTGCTCTCATTGACGTTTGTTGGCCATAATGTTGCGAGTTGCCCTGATTAAGCGAGAAGCTGGCAAGGGGGGAACGTACCCCGTCTCCAGGATGACAAAACTCCCCTTAGTCCTCCCACGGCCGTGCAGCATCTCAGGGCTTTGCGGAAACGGCTGAGCCGCTCCCCGTTAGCTCCCCAGCTCGGAGAATCACCTTAACTCACCCCGCTGCCATGAGGTTGAGCTGTAACCAACCCAGACCTCAGATCGTCACTTCAGTCCGTCAGTAAAACTTCTAATTTATAGGCGTGCTTAGGATTTAAGTGGCCATAGTCATTAACACTCGTTAAATGAGTCAATTAACATGCTTTGGGATCTATAGAGAAAGGGCATTATAAATATGCATAGTATCAAATATTGCAGAAATAAGTATCTGACTGTACCGGTATTCGGCCAGGAGCCGCTGTTGGTTGCAGCGAGTGTGCGTACTCCGCTTGGTCACGGGGGATCGGTCACAGCAGTCGTGGCGTCACCCACGCAAAGGGCTCTCCGGGGGTTGCAGGTGGGACCAGCTCCAGCATCACCGCGCACGCCTCCGATGCCGGGATGCCCAGGATCAGCGCCGGCGGGAAAGCAGCATCAGGCTGCAGATGGGAAACAAAGTCTGGCGTGAAACGCTCATTTTAACAGCGGCCAAACGGGTGCTGTTAAACACAGCATGGGGCCGTGTTTCTGCCCTGAAGTTTTTGCCACCCAAGAGTTAGGTTTTTAAGCATCCTTAAGAAACCTGGAGCTGCATCCACCCCAGAACCGAGAGCCGCAGCCGCCTCTCTCAGAGTGAGGGATATCCCATCTCCCCTTCCCAGATCACCAGTCTGGCTCGTGCTGCTCCTCGCCCTGCTCCGTACAACTGTGCACAAACACAGAGAGCGCAGCCCCAGCTGCTCTCCCCTCCCTTACAGCCCCCCCCAACGCAGAGGGGCAGCAGGTGGGCTCACCCCCGGTGATGCCAAATTAACACACTAATTACCGTCATGCCCTCTGCTAGCACGATCCTCACATGCTCCCCCCAAACACCATGACCTGAATTTCCTATTTTTTGCGACCTCTTTCGTATCACGCTCTCGAGCTGTTCTCACATCTCCATAGCCCGGCTGCTTTCGCCTGGATCACCGATAAAATCAGGCCGACGGCTGCGCACGCTGAACTGCCTGTGCTGATGGAAAACAGGCCCAGGGCAATGAGTAGCAGCAACTTAATTGCAATCAAGGCCTGTCAGCCTCGTCAGCGTGCCCGATCAGCTGCAGCTGATGGGCCAGGGCTGTGAGCTGAGCATGCAGCAGGCAAACCGGAGCTGCGTTTGAAAAGGCTGCGGAGATGGGACCGCCAGCGCTGCTCCAGCACATGCACCACCTGCGCAGCATCTTGCTTCCAGGGACGCTCAGTGCCAGATGCTACAGAGGAGGGTTCAGGAAATCTCCTAATCCCTAGTTATTAGAGGCTGGCTTAAACCTGAAAGCGTAAGACTTAATGTCTTTTACCAAATTTCGTATGTTAATTAGCCCAGCTCTGTAGACTCTTGGGTACCAATAAGTAAATCTCACTCTTTTTTTGGAGCTCTGCACGCATTTTGGTCTGAACAATGTCCTGCACAGGAAACCCCACAGCCTAGCTGCTCTCTATGGCCAGCGCCAGTCTGCAAAAATCTGATGCCGAAGGAGCTCTCGTGCTTTGCCCTGAGAGCAAATTGTAAATGAGGCAGGAGCTCACGAGAAAAGCAACCTCCCTCCCTGCCCTGCTGCTGGGGGAGGCAGTAGGTGCCTTGTACACCCCGTCACTGAGACATGTCCCCCTTCTTTGGAGGGAAGAAAGGCTCCCGTGACCGGGGAGGAAGCCGAGCTGGGGAGCTGAGCGCGATGGGAGGGATGAGGGATGGAAAATCCACATCAACATTGCTGTCGTCCAGGGAAATCGGAAGCTGTGCTTGTTCCCAGTGCATGTTTGTGGTTTGTTCCCCTGCAGTCTCGCTTTTCTTCCCTCTGCAAACATGCGTTTGCACACCCAGCACATCGTCCCCTTCTTTCCTTCGGGTGGCACAGCACAGCCCTGACTGCTTGGCTGAGCTGCAGGAGCTGAGCGTGCCCTGGGAAGCTGGGAAACAATCCTGACCCAACGGGCAGCGCCCGGGGGAACAGATATCCTGGGCATCCTTTCCAGCTCCATCTCGTCAATGGCTGACAGCAGTCTTGGGAGGGGCTGGCGTGGTCCTTTCCCATCCACGTGGCCGCATCTCCAGGGTCACGTCTGCTCCTGCACGCCGCGGCCTCCCAGGGGACAGCCCTGTGTGAGCTCCCCCAGTTTTCAGCAGATGGCAGCCGAAGTGCCGGAGGATTGAGCACAGCCCCAGGGAGGGCAACTGGGAGCTGGGCAAGGACGCTGGTCCCCAGCCACAGTCCGGTTGGGCACTGCGGGCTGCTTTGCCATCACGGCGTTTAGGATAAGCCCCCGTCACGCGCACGGGCCACCAGCGTGCGGGGCAGAAGGGGCCGCCCGGCTCCCAGCGCCAGCTGCAGCCCATCTGACCCCTGCAGATGTTGATCTGCTGCAAAGATCAGAGCTGGCATAACGCGCTCAGAGCCTTTGGCTCAAAAAATACCGAGCGGCAGCAGCGTCTGTAGCCACCACAGAAGGATTCGGCTCATTTTCGCTGCCTGTGAGTTAGACGTCCAGTTGGAGCTAATTATCTGCTCTCCCTCTGTAGTTAGGGAGAAAGTGTCATCTGCAGAGGGTGAACCAAACCTCAGGGGAGATGAACACTCTTCGGAGGGGTCTCTATCTTCTCTTGTTGACTTTGCACCCAGGCCAGGCGCTGAGCTTACATCACATTTTGCTTATCGACCAAAGCGACGAGGTGCACCCCAGCTCTGCGCGTGCAGCCAGGAGCCTCCCACCACCTCCTCACGCTTTCTGTTCTTCGTCGTTTGTTTGGCCAAAGTGATTTGCCAAATGAGCACCTAATTCATGAATAGTTTAGTTCCCCGGGAAATGTCTTATTTCATGATGAATTTATTATTCACCAAAAAGATTGCTCAGCTTTAATGCAGGTGGAGAGGAAGAGTTATTCCTCATGCGACTTCTCCAGTGGCTTCACCAGGTTCAAAGCTTTTAGGAGGCTAAACCACGGGGTACAAATTCTCCTGGCATATGCCAAGGACGTAGCTGAGAGTGAAAGTTAGCTCGTGTTGATTTTAATTAATTTTCCCAGCGTAAGGACAGTGGGACCAGGCGCTCTTTGAGGAGTTTAGACACTTATTTGGGTTAATTCTGCTTTTTGTCACAAGGAATTCAGTCCTCATCTTAGGCTTGTGTTAAACTGGATTAGTTTTACTGACAGTGCTGGAGCTTTCAGATTGACACCAGCATAACTTAGTTATATAAAACAGCAAAGATAAAAATACATCAGGGTAAAGTATCAACTGTTAGAGGAAATAACTAGAGCGCCCACACATCTAATGCATTCTGAAGAAATGGGGAGAGAAATCACGGTACTGTAATGCACAGTGTTCTGGGGCATCTTTTATCAGAGGATATCAAAGCACTTTACAAATCATTACTTATTTAAGCCTTGTCACATGCTGGTCACAGAAGAGAACAATGCTGGAAGCAGGGCATGAACCCAGGAAGCATCAGCAGAGACAAGGAAATATTTAAACGAAAGAGGTTTGCAATGGGAAATGCTGTTTCACCAAGATTGAAACATTTTGCTGGAGCATACTGATGTCAAGAAAGTTTTTGACAGAACAATTTCAAAGCAATTCAGCATCAAAATGGGATCTTGTGCAGTCAATACGTGGGAGAGGGACTGGAGGTTTTATTTCCGTACAAGGTTTACTATGTCTTGTGTACATCCCGTGTAAATAATTGTGGCTGACATTAGCTAAATGTTTCTTTTCAGTCTGGCTAGTTGCCTGTTTCTGAGCGTAACTGTTCCGAGTATTTATTTCCATAACTTGGAGGAAGTTGCTGTGTATTTTCAACTTGATTTGAGAAAATAAACATACTTTGCAATATCAAGATGCCCCTTACAGCTTCAGTAGATGCTCCTTCCTAAACCCTCCTCAAAGACCCCAGCGTAACTCGCTGCACTTCTCTGTACCCCGAGCAGGAAAGGTTACTTGCTCCTATGAAGACTCCAGAGTTTAATTCAGTTAAAACTGAGATCCTGAGATCCTCTTTCCAGGATCTTGCATCCATGTGCTGACAATTTGACCCCTTAAACTGCTGTTTTTGAGGCCCTGATCCAATACCCCGACCTCTTCAAAGACAAGTGGATCAGGGGTCTGCAGAGGAAGAGGGGAGAAGGGATGGTGCAAAAGACACAGCGGGGCTTTCCTGGAAAACAGACCCCATCAGTCACGACTCGTTTGTTCCCACTATCAAATCTAAACCACGCTGCCTGCTTCTTATCCCGGGAGGACGTTTACTTCTCATTCCCTGATGCACTTGTGGCTTCTTGCTTGCTGGGATTACAGTTCAGCTCTGTCTATTCCTCTGCCAAAAGCCCAGCGCTCCCATCGACCCTGCCTGCAGCAGGGAGAGCATCCCAGGGTGGTCTCCCAGCACCAGGTGCTTGCTCTTCAGCCCATGAGAGTTTGTTTGAGATTAAAGGCTGCACAACGTGACTCGGGTTCTCACTGGCATGTGACGGCAGATTAAAATCGGGCACCCGGACCCGCCACCGCACCCAACCCTGCCCCTCTGCCAGGCACTGCCGCCCCGGCA